GGATCGTGCATCATACGTAATGTTATTGTTATTATCCGGGAACTCGATACTTATATTGCGGCGACTATCCATCGTAAAGGACGACCTTTTTTCGCTAGCTACATTATCGCGAACGCGGAACTGATGAAATGACAAAAATACGCAGAAAATAGACGATAGACACTTGAAGAAACTAGACAAGGGTATAAAAGGCCGGTTCTCGATCAAAATTGCAAAGATTTAGCCGAATAATACTACATACACGTAGCTTCCCTTTTCTATAATACAGAAAATACTAAGAGAGGCCACTACCCCTATATTTTAGCTGGCTGTTCTGCCAAATTAATTTTGCAATGAACAGCTGAGTAGTCAACACGTGCCAACACTCCACGTTATTTGGCATGCACGTTTCAAACGTGACAACCTAAAGGAATTCGACTAAAATAGTAAACTGCGTGGTATAATTTAAAGGAAGCTGTGATGCAATATATATTAATGATAAGGAAACTGAAAACGCGTGTTTGGGCGATGATTAGATAACTAAGAATGTGATTGGCGTACAGCGTACAGGAGAAGTCGCAGCTTTCCTGTTCAATCTCTGAAAAAAAAAAACACTGAAAAAGAACAAAAAGCATTTGTACAATAAAGGATGCCAGGTAAACGCGTTTGAGTAAAAAATTAATTCTTCCGAGAATTTTTGCGTTGGGAATAGGGATATGATGTAAAAGCGATTAGGCTAACAATAATATATAAAATAATCTTGCAATTAAGTGGGTGTTAGACGCCTTGTGCAAAAATCGAAGCCTTCCGTCCGGGTGAAAATAAAAAATTATCACGAAATGCGAAAAGAGTAAAGCCTTTTTCTTCTGGCGAATGACACTTAATCTAAGAAGCTGCTGTGGCTTTTAATATTTCTTCCTCAGAGACAATTCCATGCTAAATTTGAGTCGGATTCATATTGTTTCCTCGAATCGCAAATATTCCATAAAATAATTTCGTGGATTTAACGAGCCACTAAAGGTCTTGCGTGGCCAATCGAATTATGAAATAATTGAAGAATTTATAAACTTTCCCCTGATGCTAACAAAAACGGATTATACAACAGTTTTGGAACATTTGAAGTAGATTAGTACGATTTTTCGTCTACATTTAATCGTTTCGAGAAAAATTTGAACGTGACTTCCCTTTGCTTTTGTAACGGTCTTAATTCATTTCAAACAGATCATGTCTGGAAAAAATATCATGCTTCAATTTAAAACAAATTAAAGGTACTTGGGGCAAAAACTACATCCGCCTGAAGAATAGAATCTGTCATCATTAATTTGGAAAAGAATCTGTATTGTCGCCTCAATGATTTTCTTTTGTTTTTCAATTGTTTTTATAGAAGTTTTAATGCAAATATCGTTCCTTTGAACATTGCTTTGTTTTATTAGAAGTTGTGTACGATCCTTGGCAAATTCAACATTTTAACATTGTAAAATAAAATTATGCACATCACGTCCTAAACCGTGAAGCGGGAAAGTGAAATTAAGGGTATTTTTATATTCACCAAGAAAACAACGACACATTCAAGGTTCATGTTGGTGTGATTTTACAATTTTACAACCGTACCTGTCGTGTTTACAGACTGTTAACGGATTGAAATTTTTCTTTGCACATATCAGTTTTTATTCAAGTACCATAATGCATAAAATAACTCGCCATGAATATACAAGTCCTGTAGCAAAAAAAGATGAAGAGAGGTATAACCTTAAGCGAAGATAAATAGACAAAATAAGTAAATACGTTGTAGCTGTTTGGAGAACTTGTCTCTTCGTCTGCCTTAATAAGGCATAATCTAACCCACGAACATTTTGCCCAAAGCAACTGAAAATAACTTGCAGTTTACCTGCTGGTAATTTTTTTTCTTACCACTTACTACTAAACAACAAACAGCTACCGTAAAAGTAAAGATGTAGGGAAGGGTTTTCAAAAGGGTGAAAGTGCAATTACCAACAACTCTGCAAACTGTTTTTAGGTCAATAATAGAGATGTTTTCCCGTAGCTATTCCTCGAGAAGTCGATAAAATATTACCTATCACCACCCTCAAAGGGCAGGATTTAGCGTGGAAGGATATCGTGTGGGTTCAGTTGCATCATATCGTGTAACCAAAAAATGTTTCAGCATTTCTTAGTGCCCGCGTGGGCTTGGAATTACTCAGTAAAAACTCAGATTGATTGTGCTTAAACTGGGAGGAAACTCCCACGAGACAAACTAGGAACAAAAAAGTAGTGTCTCTTAGCTATATAAAAACGATCACATTGGAAAAGAAGCCACAAACACTCAAAACGTTTTTCAGACACATTGCAAAGACCAAAATGCTTCTAGAGTGGACGGGTGAAAGAGAAATTCTACAGCAGTTCGTGATCACTGCTATTATTTCTTCATGCGCCAGCCCGGTGGAGTCATATGGTAGTATTCCTGATTGACGAAACACTACTGTCAAGGAACTGCGATAGATAAGGAACAAATGGTGAGCATTTATTAGATGCACTTTAGAAGTTTTTATTTAAACTTCATCATCCATTTTCTCTGTCTGAAAGCGCTGTATTAGAACTTTTTCACCTTTACTTCGAAATGACATTTGTTTGAATTCACAAACGTGAAGACACTTGCCATTCAACCTTATTTTTCACCTTCTCCACGGACCATGACTTAAAAAGAAATTTATATCAAAGCTAGGAAATTCGTGTAATCAAATTCAATTGTGCGAGTTTGTTTCATATTCCTTTTGTACACGATTATGACGCTGCAAACAAATACGTAAGGCAAATACAGCATTTTCTCTGTGATTACTGCGAAGTTCCCGTTCCGTGAAGCGGTTACTCAGATGGATTTCTGTTCTATTCCGATCGAAGGAACAATTTTCGTATAACCTCATTCTTCTCTAAAACTAAGCCGTAGGCCCAAATGCAATCTATTGCTTTCACCATTGTTTCCTTTATCTAAGAGGTGTATGCATAATTTAGAATGGGGTTGTGTGAAAATCTTGCCTGACTAAGATAGAAGCCCAAAATTAAAAGTAAATATGCTAAAGGATACTCGATTTGGAAAACAATGGAAATTTAAGCCATAAACGCCACGAAAGGAACCTTGAGTTATCAACGGGATATGAATCATGAGTGGAAAAAGGAAAACTATATTTGCTCAATTCAAGTGGGGCTTCGCCTTTTTCGGACCATTCTTTGGACGATAAATATCACGTTAAGGTGACGATACTCCCTTAAATTATTAGTTTAATTATGAGAGTAGTTTTTGTTTTCATTATGACAAATTTTAAAACTTGCAATGCAGCCCTTTGCAATTTTCTGGCCGGGAAGTCTAAGAAACAACTATTCAAGCATGGTGCCGATCTATTGCACGCGTTGTTAGCAAGGAAGATAGTCTGATTTTTTCGGCCCCTGAATAGCACATTTAGTATTTCTTTGAATGCATGGTGTGTAACGGAATACTTCAAGTTTTTGTCATTTTGCCTAGCTTTTTAATTTATAGCTTTCGGTTAGCATGCGGTTATTCGGTAAACCAGATATATGTGCATATAAATGTGAAATCTGATCCCCGAGCATGTTCTGTGATTCTTATCTAAAACCTTGATTACATTAATACATCTTGACTAAACCTATTTTTTCGTTTTTCACTTTGAGAGTAAGTTATTGAAGTGTTCTTATTTTGATTATAAGACGATTTATTTTAGATTCACGGTACACTTTTTTCCTCAAAATTTTTAAATTATTAGAAAACAAAATTCAAACACCTGACAATGTAAGGTTCATTCGTCAGCTAGGTTTGCTCTTGGCCTCGAGCATCTCCGGCTTAGGCCTCTATCGCGTTCTCCAAACTTTTCGCGTGTTTCATATCTCGATGAATCACGAGGGAACGAATTAACCAATCGACGATTAAGAAATAAGGTTTCCTACAGTAAAGAAAGCAACTATACTAAGTAGCAGGAATCTAAGTGTTTTATTCCCTGGGAAACTAAAATTTAACTGATTTTCATTATATTTTTACTATATTTTTTGATTTTTGTAAAAAAACAAGCTAGATGGGAGCAGAAAAGAGCGACGAATGTCGATCTCGTGATTCAATTTTTTTTTCGGCACTTCACGGTTAAGATCATAACTTGCAAACTCTACAGTCAAAATGTAATCGTAGTACAATGAAGATACAAAAAACCCCTCCCAAAAACGATAAGTCTTGACGGATGTTTGAAGTTTTGTGCAAAAGAAAACCTAATAAGTGCCCTGCATTGAAAATAAGACGCGTGGGAAGGAAATAGGGTTGTTCAGTAGGAAAAAATTAACATTTGGTTGATGGTTGAGCAATTCTGGACGAGACCTTAAAATCGGTTTTATCTCATAACATCTCGACAGGATTACAGGTCCAAAATATTCAAGAAAATTGCTTTACAACGAGGTTTGCCAAAACAATACCCATTAGTATCGGAAAATTATTTTTTAAGATGCAGTGGTTAGAAGAAACAGCTGCCAAATTTCAATGTATTTTGTCTTTCCGAAAAAGAAACGGTTAAGAGCTTTTCTTGAAAAAAAAAAAAGAGAATAAAAATAAAGGTATTCAATTTAAAAATCCTTCAGCAACTTGTTTGGTTGTAGCCCGCGTAGATTTTCCCAATAGGTGCTGTGTTTAACATACTAAATTTGTCGCTTCCGTCTTTAGTTCGTTATAAGCTATTAAAAAAACTGATGGCACAATATTTATCCGGCACCAGAAAACAACTTCCCTTAGTCTAAGAAACACATTTATTATACAAATCAAAGTTAAATAATCGTCTTATCGTGTGGGTCTTCAAAACGCTGCGAAACACAAGCCACCCTCATATCGTAAAAGAAAAGGCATTGGACAAAAATTTCTTTTCAAAGGGAAAGCTGAGCGTCTTTCAAGAGACAGACTTATTTCGGAGCAGCTTATAAAATTCGTTGCTTTTGTTACAGAAAAAAAGAAAAAAGGAACCTTCGTCAGAAAGATGGAATCCAATAACAGTTGGAGCACACTTTTCGTAGCTATCAAGTTTGTGGTCTGCTTCTTTGGGATTTTTTTAAATGGCTCAGTAATTTTCACAATTTGCAAGAACCTACGCCGTTCATCACCACCATGCTACCTAATTCTCAGCATTGCGGTGAGTGACTTCATTTCTTGCTCAGTGGCCATTCCGATTTCGATTGCATTTCACTTTCAGAACCAATGGCCGTTTGGAATGGATGGATGTAAAGCTCATGCTTTCATGATTTTCCTTCTGGCACTCGTCTCCATCACTCACTTGGCTGTTATTTCGGTGGGGAAGTTCCTTACCATCACAAGATCCCTTTCCAGAGATTCATACTTCAACAAGAGTACGGTCTTATGGATAGTCCTAGGTTCTTGGACGTATTCTTTAGTATTCAGCGTGCCACCGTTATTGGGATGGTCAAGATTTGGTCTAGAAGGAACCAATGAATCATGTTCGATCATCTGGGAATCGAAAGTTCTTAGTGACAAAGTATATTTTGGGGTTATATTCTTTGCCTGCTACTTATTACCTATCACGCTTATTGTATTTTGCTATTACAAAATCCATAAAGTTTCTAGTCATATCGTCGACACTACTCTCCGAATAAATAGGGTGGCTATGACTATGTCTGAGGCTCTGCTGAAAAGGCATCGTAAATCGGCCATGTACTTTTTAACTATTATAGCAGTTTTCCTCCTCTCGTGGTCTCCTTATGCCATCGTATCCTTCATGACAATTTTTTGGGGAAGCGTCAATCCTGTTGCTACCAGTGCGTGTAGTGTTTTTGCAAAGACATCTTTCCTACTCAACCCAATGCTGTATGCCATTGTGTCTCGGAAATTTCGACGCCGAATGATTCAGGCGATTCCTATATCCAGACCAAATCGGGTGGTTGTTCCTGCAGATGCTTTCCACCTAACGTCTGAAGCACTGGCACTCTAAATGTTAGATTCCTCGACACAAACGTGGAATGATTGCTGATGATTTGTAAGCAAACCGGCTCGAATGTTATCACTAGACAATTATCAATAGAGTTTACAAGCTCTAAATCTCTACACAACATCCCTTAAAGTACAATAACATAATGGACCAATGAGTGTTTCACTGACTTCACATCTACTCAGTAAGCATTATCATACATGGGAAACATAAAACTTGCCTAATATTTGCTATGGTTTTGCGTGCACTCTGCTAGTAATACACGCTATTGGGTGTTATAGATCGATCCTTTAAATTATCTCTCTGCAATGTTGAAAAATAACACGTGAGAACCAGTTTTGGGTAGCATTTCTTATTCCAACATTAGAAATGTTCCCTAATCATTGCCGTGCTTAGGTTAATGCTATAAAGTTATTTCTTTATTGAAACATCTTACTAATTCTCCAATCCTGAGGATTAGATGTTTAATTTTGGTGTCCACAGTGTTTTTGTTGTGCGCAGGTATCGTAATGGAGGTATTATCACCAGTGTTTGGTGTTTTATTCACCAATAATAATTGTAAAACAGAGTAGTGTTAGTGAGAAAGTGTGCTGAGTAATGAGAAGATTATGCTGTGGAAATTGTTCAAGTAGTACCAATGTGATAAGAGTTTGACTTGACGCCTGTTACAAAAGAGAGAGCATTTCTAAAACCTTTAATGTGTATCGCCGATTCATTGCATGTGTTTATGAAAAGAAAATTTATGTTTGTCTCATTGACGCTAATGAGATTATTTATCATCAGTTTATCGCTTTCGAAAATCGTTAAAAAAAATTCTCGTTTAAAATTGTGAGTTTATCAGATCGAAATAATATTACATGAAATAGTTATTGCATGTATTTGCTTTCAATGAATGTTTCTGATGAATGAACCTTTGCTTTGTGGGTATGAAGTCTTAAGCAGTGAGACAGACTCAATTTGTTGACTGAATAGCTTGTATTTTTATGCCATTTCATATATTAATTGTCTTTTAGAACGTTCCCAGGTCCGCTAGTCGCAGAGGCCAAAAGCTGAATAAGTTCGCAAAGCCTTCAAGGATTTCTGAGGATCGGTGTGAACTATGATTGTTAGCATTTTGGGGGCAAGTGGAATATGAATATGCATTATTGACCAAGCGTTTTTATGGACCGAGACAAATTCTCTGACAATAAAAACGCAAAAAAAATAGAACGAGGATGATATCCAGCCATCATCTTAACCGAACGAGCTCGGCCAATAAATTATAGTTTAGATAGCAATAAGAGTTCGATAGAATGGAAATCAAGAATAGCCTGTTTATTCTTAGAACCGGGAAAGAAATCGAAGTGTGTTTGTAACATAATAAACCCACGAAAGTCACTTTAACGTTCTCTTTTTTTTTAAGTCTTCTGCCGCTTTATGAAACTGCATAGCCGACATTATCAAAAAGCTATGAAATTTGTAAGTCCGCTTCACACAAACTTTTTCTTGCGCGGGATCAAAGCGGGAAATCCAAGGGGGCAAGACGGGCCCATCTTGCCCGCTCGGGTAGCCAATCAGAACACAGGATTCGCCTCATAATGCCCACTGGCATTGTCAGCTATATCATAAAAGGGTTCTATAGACATCATGTTCATTCCCTTTGAATAAAAGTCTTTGTTACTGTCCCGAAAGCTCAACTTTCTGTTCAGTCTGTAAAAAATATTTCACCTGTGTGGCAAAGTATTTCGTTTCCTTGTCAAATGAAAATGATGGATGTCCCCTGAAATATCTTTAAAAAAATGCTGCCGCATCCTTTAGTTGCTGAATATTTAAAATCAAATGGCTTTTAATGGCGTTCAGTAATGGTTTGCGATGTTCACCTGAAGGACAAAAAATGGAACAGTCTATTCGGTTTACTTTTCTGACAATTTACGAATTGAAGATGGCAGAATTTTAAATTGGATTGAATTGAACCAACCATATGCAATGTTGTGAACTTATAAAGCAATTGTTCATAGCAACGTAAGTGGCGTTTGAGTTGAAAAAAAGGGCTAGAACACCTGCTGACAGACAAAGTAATTTTCATGTCATCAAATTCCAAAATCCATAAGCAAGAAGACATTAAAGCTTTTATCTTTTTCAGGCATCGAAGAAACAAAATTCATCTCCTCGCAGCGTGCAAAGAGAGGGAACTGAATTGAGGATAGTTTTATGAATCCTTACAAAACAGGGGACGTTTTTAGTTTAAGATTTGGCTTTAAAACGATTTTGTCATTCACTTCTAAAATTTTATTTTTGCATTTCCCTGATAATCTATGAAAAAAACTTAAACTTACGAAAAAAATCCCAGCCATTTCTAAATATGTTGTGATAATTTTGCTGATCTTTAAGGATAACACAGCAACACCATTGCCATTTTGTAATATCCTCAAGTTCAACTTTATGTGCTAGTAACCCACAAAAGATTTTGTTGAGCTCCTTTTTTACTCTTAAATTTCGAGAGGTGCTGATCGCACCTTTGAGAAGCACGTGGAATTTTTTGATGACTTGTTGAGTGCATTGTCGTAGATTTCGAAGAAACGTTCTATGCGAAGAGAATGTCGTTTTCCGTATTTCATGATCTTTAACGTATATTCAGCCTTAGTTCATATTTCCTGACCACAACTTGGATTGATTGTTTCGAATATTCGAGTCCTTACATGGACTGTAGTTTTGAATCAAAGCACGAACTGCATATCTTCATGATAATTATTTTGGCTTTCTTTTAGATTCCCTTTACCCGAGCTTCTAAGCGAGAAATATCCCGTGCTCTGTAGCAAAAGTAGAAACAATAATTGATACCAAAAGAGTAGGCAGATCATGTCCTGAATTAAATCATTTCCCAATTTCTATGACCGTGAGATATTCGTGGCCATACCTCAAGCCTCCACAAGTGATATGTTATCAGGTTTGCAATTACTCTTTAAAAAGTACTTTTAAAATGAAAATTGTCTTCAAAAGCTCTTTGTGTCGGTGATCGTTCCAGCATGTAAATGCAGCGGATTTTTATCTGCCTCAGAACGCTCTATAATGCATGAGGAAGCTATAGGTATGGCTAATTACGGAAATTGCAAGACGTTGGTCGATATCGACAAATGCATCACAGGACAATCTGTGTTAGAAGCAATGCAATTATGAAAACTGAAATGCCAAACATGAAACAATGGTATTTGGGCAGTTCGGCTCAATGGATCTTTGACGATATGTTCACTGAAATTCCCAACGGGGCAGTGCTCAGTTTTCCCCTCAATTTTCGATTGCAAATAGCGCATATTATCGTAAACTTCTAAAAAAAAAAAAAGAAATGAATCAAATCACTGAATACCTTATTTGCGAACTCAAAATTCAGAGAAAAATAAAACAAATCAAAGCAAGAGAGTGAAAGGAAATGTATTTATGAAATGACCATTTTTTAATTTCCAATTTCGTTGACTTATTTTCCTAGTAATGATAATCCCTGGCCTAAACTGAATCACACTGCCTACATCCTGCATGTATATTTCTCATTTTGGACTTGTGCTATCGTCCGTCAGTAAATTTTGAAATGACCTTGATACAAAAAATCAAGACAAGAATGGTCCCTCGTAAGTGTTCCAATACGGACATAATTAGCCTTTCCTGATAAGATAAAAACAAATTTAGAGAAAGGTAGCGAATTCACGTGGAAAAAGGAAGAGCACGTTTTCCTCTTTCTTTCTATAATCTATTTGTTTATGTTTGTAATAGGAAGACAAAAGGGAGGAAGAGGAATTCAAAACTCAGAGAGGTCAGAGAAATTTACGTCGGAGCAGTAGTTGATTGGCTAAACATAGTGTCTGATGTACCATACTGTTCACGCTGTTAGAGCCTTGCCATTTTGTGTGTGTTGTAGGAATTATGTAAGGATAGCAAGATGAAAAATTGTCGTTCTCACCGCGTTGGTAGCATTATGAGGTATCTCAATCTGTCTCTGTTAACTTGGTTTTATGCTTGAAAGGGATGCTTTTACATTACAGTATTTTCGTAATGTTTTGACGAACTGTAGTGTATCATTATTGTGTTGCTCCATTTTCCCCTGCATCGCAGTTTAGGCAAACAAACTTCATCTCTAAAACATAACTTTGAAACATACATTAAATTTATGCGATAATAGCCTTTTTCAGCGTGTGTTCAAAAATAAGAGCCGGAATTAAGCCTCTCTCACACGGCGGGTGAAGATCACGTTTTTCGCTCAAAAAAAAAATCTGGAACAGTGCATATAAAAGCCGTCGACTTTAGAAAGCTCAGTAAGATAGAGTGAAATCGGACTAGACATGGACACCATTGGCAACTGGAGCACAATCTTCGCAGTGATCAAGCTGTTCGTATGCTTCCTAGGAATTTTCTTCAACGGCGTAGTAATTCTCGCGGTTTGGAAGGACCTACATCGTTTTTCAGCCCATAGCTACCTCATTCTCAGCATTGCGATTAGTGACTTCGTTTCTTGCTCAGTGGCCGTTCCATTTTCAATTTCCGTGCACTTCCAGAAGCAATGGCCGTTTGGTATGGCTGGATGTAAAGCTCATGCCTTTATGATATTTCTTCTGGCGCTCATCTCCATCACTCACTTAGCTGCACTGTCCGTAGAAAAACTGTTAACGATCACCAGATCTCTCTTTAAAGAATCGTACTTCAACAAGACGAAGACCCTGTGGATAATCATAGGATTGTGGGCTTATTCGCTGATCTTCAGCGTTCCACCTCTATTTGGATGGTCTCGCTATGGAATTGATGGAACCAATGAAACCTGCTCGATCGTATGGCACTCGACGGATCCCAGTGATGTAACGTATTTTGCGGCCATATTTATTGCTTGCTTCACTTTGCCGATCACACTGATAACGTTTTGCTATTACAAGATCCATAAAATTTCCGGACGTATTGTGGACAAAACTCTTCAAATGAATAGGATGGTCTTGCTGAAAAAGCATCATAAATCTGCCATGTATTTTTTGATCATGATAGCAACTTTCCTCCTCTCGTGGTCACCTTATGCCGTAGTATCCTTTCTGAGAATTCTCGGGGAAAGCGTGAACCCCATTAAAACAAGTTCTTGCAGTGTGTTTGCCAAAATGTCGTTTTTTCTCAATCCATTGCTCTATGCTATAGTTTCACGAAAGCTTCGACGTCGCATAATTCGGGCAATTAAGGTGACCAGACCAAATCGAGTGGAAGTGTTGAATGTTCTTAATTTCAAATCAGACTCATTGGTTCTCTAAACTTTGCAAACCTTTGACCGCCATTTCCTGCGTTTTCATGGACGTATGATCCGTGCAGAAGAACGGTCACCCTCACCACGGTAGAATTGTGCAGAAATGCGATGACTAACAGTTAATAAAGTTGTCTGCCTCTCCATTGCCACAAAGTGACATTCTACCTCCTCTTAGTTGTTATCCTTAGATACAGTCTCTAGAAATAAAAATTCGCTTGACCACTCTAAATGAACCAGTTGCAGTCGTATTATGGTTTTAGTCTTTGTCGTCATTGTTTGCCAGGTCCAATGTAAAAAGGATGTGAGCATTTGTCTGAAACATGTTCGTTCATCAACAACTTTAATTTTCTCCGGAGAGTGTGGTGTAAAAACACATACCAATACCATTGTAACTGTTTGATTCATTTTAAGTCGAGGCGAGAGGAGATCTAAAAATACTTTTGCGGAAAGGAAAATAAATTAGCTTGGCGGGAAGAGGTCAAGAATAATAACTTTTGTTGTTGTCGCATAACGTTTGCGATCTAGTGACATTCTTTGTCAACAATCTTGTTCACCATCCTCATCGTGTTTCTCCGCTCTTTCTCTGGAGTTATCGAGCCCATATCTGAGCACAGGCCACTCGAATGTTGGAGGTCGCTACCTTTGGTATATTTAACAATTATTCTTTGAAATCGAGGTGAATAGTGGCTAAATATTTACCGAGCCGCGAAGCGGCGAGGTAAATATTCCCGAAAGCCACTATTCACCGAGATTGAGAAGAAGAATTGTGTGGTATATACACACGAAGTGATCTCGACAAAATTAAAAGGAAGGCATTTAAATGCAATTTTTGCTTCTGAAACTTTAGCGAAACGCGAGTTTACGCCCGCCATTTTGTTTTTCACATTATCCACTCGCTCGGAGGTGTACATTGTTGATTAGCCCGAGGTAGCGAACCAATCAGATTGCTTGAAACGCCAAGATCACTGAGTGTGTATACACTAAAGTTATTTGTATATTTTTATATACTCAGACTTTCACTCAATAAAATGAGTACTGTGACTGGTTGATTCTTAGTCACGTGCCACTGATCAAATTCAAATGTATCCCGATCGGGATACAATTGCGCGGTTGTTGCCCGCGCGCCGAATACAACAGCATGTTTTTGCCATATGAATGTTTACGTATGATGCACGATCTGAATGTTTGAGAGAAAGGCCTAATATACTGAACCAAGTACTTAATGTATGGCCCCTCTGGTTAGTTTTGTTTTCCCTTGAGTCCTGATGTTTACCTCGACCAAACTAGATTCTAAGTATAACATTCAGCCTTGTTTTGATGCGAGGACACTGGGGATTGGGTCGGGTGAATGGCGATACGAGGTAATAGTGAATCGCAGGGAAATCTACTCGCATTATGGCGAGGACGGAAATATGTTTTCAGTCTGTGGTAAAATTCGTGTCAACAGCATGATTTGTGTTTTCAAAACGAGCACCTACTACTTTCAAGATAAACTCGTTCCTTCTCATGATGAGCTACATTTTATAAGATGCTAAAAATCTGGAAACGTATACCTATGAATACAGCTAAGTGCATAGAATGATGATCTAATACGCCGTCATCCGTACCCTTTGAGGAAATTTTTTGTTCCATTTTTTATATTCATCCACAAGACTTAACTTTCAGCTGTCTTTGGACAATCTATTGAATATTTGAAATTTCGGAATATCGCGACAGGGATTTTCGAGTCAGTAGCAGAGAAATTGGAATCAAAACAGTTTCTCTCCGTATGTTGCTTGCGAAAAGTGGACCAACATCAAATTGAAAACGTGGAAGCAAAGGTAGTTTTCCTAATTTATGCACGTGCGACCAAATAGGATCGGAGGCCGGGGCCAATAACGATAACAGGTGAAACACCTTGGAGCATGAGATAAATACAATATTTTTTTATGAAAATCAGAAAATATCACGATCATGCATCTGTCTTTGTGTTAGTTTTCAAATATTTGGTGATAGCTTTGAAGGCGAAGGAATTCTGAAATCAGATAAAAGTTTTAAATCGCAAGCGCTCTTCTAATAAACGGAAAGGATCACTTTCTCTGATGAGACGATAGCGAGCGGCGTGAAATACCTACTGGCGCCAAGGTTTACAAACATCGAGCATCAAGTGTTAAACAGCTGGTTGTAGTTGTGGTTCGATATCAGTTTTCATATCCTCTTATATTTTGAACAATTTCTTCCGTTTTCTCGAAAGAAGAACAACTATAGTAAAAATTTAGCCCAGGCTCTTCCAAGAACTGTTTTAAATCAAGGTTGGAACCACAAAATGTGTGAAACTAACGAAATAACAGTTTAAGGGAAAATTTTAAAAACTAATAATGGTGAAAATTCAAGCAGATTAGGATTCTCCATTAAATCTAAAAAAAATAGAAGGCCAGTAATTGTAACTGTCGCTCAGGTTTTTTGATTCATCCCTGAAAATCAGTTCTAGCAAACCTTTTTTCTTATTTCATTACAAATATACCTGAAGGTTCGAGCAGAGGTGAGATTTACATGGTTTACATAAAATAATATCGAATATATTGTTTGCCTATACAAATTGTTTTAGCACCTTGACTCTGCTGAAAATAAACTGTGAATTTTAATTTGATTTCGTTTCATTCGGATAATGAACAGATTAACCATGAAAAGGAGAAAAGAGACAAAGGAGTTGATTCGCGCACCCTTACAGTGTGGTGTCTCGCTTCTTACGTAATTATCATAACTGACGAGAAGTAATATCAGAAATTACACGAAAGAAAATGACTCTCAGATATTTATCACAGTATTTGGAGGTGAACTACTGTACATTTGTCTTCGTAGAGAATAGACAGTTGCACTGGTTTTCTACTCTTCTTCGGAAAGCTGTGGTTTTGCATATTGAAAGCCCTAGCTTTGAATATTCCGATGAAACTCATTAAACTTGGCCAAGTATTTTTTATTTGCTCCGGTTCGCTTAATTTCTTGACATACGTCACTTATCGATCAATCTATTCTTTTGTCGCTCTTCGAATGGCTTTGTTGTAAATTTGCGAAAATAATGGAAGATGAAAGAAGAAGCGTACGCACACCGAGCAAGATTTGAAGTTGTTGAAGTAAAGCAAAGAAGTGTATTCATTTTGTTGGACTATTGTTATGACGTTTACCGCTGCGTGAGACGAAAGGAGACAAAATGAAAATATTCCTGAAGTAAATTAAAGGAGCGAGCTGAAAGAAATGTAGGTGATCACCTTCTCTGAGAGGTGTGAAACGGGGTCTGCCTGTTAGAATACAGCGATAATTATTCTAACAAGTTCAACATACAAAGAAAAGAAACTATGGGAAGAAAGGAGCATCGGCCATCTAGAGTGGATTTGAAAATTGGAGTTTCTATTTTACTTGCCTACGGTAAGTGTGAAAGAATTGATATACAAAAATTTGATAATTGTAAAATGAAAGAAAAAAACCCTGCCAAGAATGACAGATTTTGTTATTTTCGTGGTTAACTTGGTTCCTATTCGCGCGGAAAACTCTAGACTCATTATTGTGGTTTTCACGTCTTTCAAACAAAGTCAGATTGGGTTTTTGATTTTCGAAAATCCTCATTGCAAATTAAAGTTTTTGATACTTTTCCGACACATTGTCTTTTCATTTGCAAGATTTTGCGCAAACTCAAACTTCTTTATTCGAGAAATTTGCTATATGTTACATTGCACTTAAGATTTTGAAAACAAAGTCGAAAATTGAGTTAATTTTCTCAGGTGTCAGAATCTTTTATTAGTTTTCCAATGTATATGCAAAATCTATAACATTGTATTAGTCTTTTTTACTTCCGAATCTTGATACCTTTTCGACATTTGATCCAAACTTATTTACCCCTCAAAAGCTTACTTTGTCTACATTTGCCAATAAATACCCTAGATATTGCGATAGCCTCGAAAATGAGATAAACCTTAATTTTCTCTGAATCTATTTATACGGTGGATACATTTGATACATCTAAATCCGCGAGGCGATTTCTTAGCCAATCTTACATTCTAATTTTGGCATCGATTAGAACAGATCGTTGCGTGAAACTGAGAACAGTAGGCAGTGTGCAAAATGATCAAGTTAACAGTATATCGTTGGTGTTTCGCGTCGCGTTGAAGGGCATTCCTGGTAAACAAGCCGATGTGAATTGTGGTTTTAAGCATTTCATAGTCGCAGGATTGGCTCATGAATCATGCAGTTAATTCGGAGCTTCGTGAATTTAATGCAAATACTTAGCATTGGTTTAAGTGTTCTGTGTCATTAAAGAAAAAATTTGGTGTGATGGCTGTTTTCTTTCTTTTTTTTTATTGTGAAGCTAGCGAGTTCAGTTTGATGTAGTTTTCGTTATTTTTCTTATTTCTTTTATTATCATCCTCATTATTATTAGAATTATCACTATCATTATCATTATTATTATTATTATCATTAATAGCTTTATCTCTATAGCTATCATCGGTTTTATTTAATTTTAAACTTACTCATGTGAATATCTGAGACTGCGCACTCGGCTTCGCCAGATTAAAATACAGATATGAAATGAAAGATGTCTTATCCTAATCATTGTGAGTTGTACCATTTATTTATTAATGGAAAAATTACTGACCGTTTGGTAATAGACGAAGATACCACACAGTTATGAACTAATTCATACGAGGTTATCATTTATTTTCGTTGCATGCTTGCGCCGGTATATATATATACGGCAAACTCAGTCGGTCTTTTAATTTCGTCAAACGTTCCATGAAAAAATTATAGCTTGAATTGGTCTTTTAATAACGATTGTTTTTATGGTATCTTTTTTCTTCACTTACTCTTTTAAGGTTTAACAAGAGTAACACTGACTCAAGCCCAGTTTACAGGTATTGTCCAATTTTTATATGTTATTACAAAAAAAAAATCAAGTGTAATGGCTGTCTTCTTTTTATTTTTACAATCAAGCTGGCGAGTTGAGTCTGTCAAGCTGGAGAGTTCGATTCTCATTACAAAAATTATTGATATCCATTGTAGAAAATAGGCTATTTATTGAAAAAATTTGGTGAAAATGCTTCACTTAGAAACAAGTCATCATATTCAATAAAAAATATTCCGTTTGATTGAAGCAGTTTAGAAAAGGGGAGTTTTATACTAAGACGTGATATTTCATAAAAAAAATCCTTTTTACATCTCTGCCCTGTTTTTCAGCATGCACCACCCGCGGGAATTACACAGATGATGTTTATAGGGAAATTCCCATCAAAAATGCGAGAACAAGTGTAACAATCAGCAGTCCAGACTTCCCCAAGTCCTATCCAAGGAACATACAATGTACATGGAGAATAATCGCCCCCTTCGGTCACAAAGTTAGGCTTTCATTTCTTGAATTTCACTTAGAAGGAAGTTACATAGAGACAGGTTGTCATGACTACGTCAGTGTGAGGTGAGTATATGATGACATGGAGACAATCATAATGAGGATATAGGTTCCCATTTGGGTTACATTCCAAAACTCCACCATTTTATTAAGGTAATATGACAGCCTCAAGGCGGACTGTTTCTTTTCAAGGTCTTCGTGGTGCATTTGGGGGTGTCGCAAATATCAGATAGAGGTACCCACTTAGGAAATAAGATAAGGTAGTTATAGGAGTCTGATAAGTCAATTGGCTTTATCTTTCCTACAGAAAGTATTTACCATGCTGTGTTTATCGCTTCAGCTTCACTCCAACCTGCTCAAATACCTTGAACAACGTTTTAAAATGTAAATTATTATCAAAATAGTATTCTAAGTTATGCTTTTATCATGGGGATGCAATGCTAATATACCGTTGGGCGTATCTGGCTCTGATAATGGTCATTTTGTCGTATTCGAAAGTAAAGTTAATGGTATATGGACGTTCATAACTATAAGAACGAACAAATAGTTATCCGCCAGGCTTAACAAAACTTTATCTTGCCCTCTTCAGAGACGGTGGGTTAGAGTTCATAGACGGCAAAATGATTAGAAGGCGTTGTGGTTCAACCAAACCTCCGATGGTTATTTCTAGCGGCACAGTTCTTTGGCTTAGATTTCTCACCGATAAGGAGGTAGAAGACACTGGATTCGTTATCAAAGTACTCCCTGTCAGTGGTAAGGTTATCAATTAACCAAAAAAAAGAAAACAACAACACCAAAAGATGATTTTTCCTTTTGATAGGGACGTAATTATGTTATCAGCGAAGTTTAGAATGCGTTGTACAGTAGGTTTCATCAACTTTTCATTTGAACACACTGAGATTTACACTATGAAGTACTATCGTTCGTGTCTGCGGCTGATTCAGAGAAGAATTTATTTTCACGGTCGATCGTTTCGTACTTTACAGAGTGAAAATCTCAGCATGTATGAAACAATTAAAGATTATTCCATGTGAAGTGCGCATGAACGATTTTTATTCATGAGTTGGGATGCATCAAAGCTATAACTGGCCTCGCAGTAATTTTTTTTTTCGCATGATTAATTATTGAGCCCTTGTTCCTATGCAGCCTCGACCTCAAAGCGCCACATTGCCATTGGTGTCCTTCTAGGCCTGCTACTACTCATTCTCATGACTATCATTCTCCTTTGCCGCAAACGATTTCGAAAGCCAGACAAGAACGTACCAAAGGTCCGTAAGTACCAGGAGCTTCCTTTCCCCACAGAAACAGAAGCCGAGCAAACAGACCCTCCAAACGATGGACCAGGATTACCCGAAGAGGATCCTTGGAGTAATGACCCCCAAAACGCCGTGGAAAATCAAGGATCACGTGTAAATTTTCAATTAACACCCCTTAGAAGTTCTGAGGCGTCGGGATATTGTTCCCTCTCAGAAGAAGGAGACATGTTTGAGTTCAAGGATAGTTGTACATTTTGTAAAGGTTCTTCAAAGAAAGCCATGGAGGACGAGAGTGACCAGTTAGAGTACACAGAACTGCTCACTGTCGTGTGAACGGATCTGGATTTATTCAGGTGCATATTCGGTTCAAACGGTTATGAATAATTAATGATGTCCAAGTATTCTACGCGATGCTCTCAGTCGTATTTTGACTGCAAAAAAGAGATGAAATACCATTCTTCCTTTGACAGTGGTTAAAATATGTTTAGACGAACAATGCGTCGTGGCTCTTGAAATGAGTGTATGATATCCACATCATGCATGGGGATTCGCCCATAGCATTTTTAGGAATGGTACACGATATGTGTCCCCTTTTCTTCGATTTGTAGCCGCTAAATATCCAACAGAATAGTGAGGCCGCATACTTACAATGAAACTTTTGTCGGTCACTACGGCCCCACATGCAAAATACTTGGAAAGAAGAAGAGAGATAGGTAGCCCCGTAGTACACAAACTTTCAAACAAACGAACAAAATTCCTTGAACTGTATTACCAAACGACAGCTGAGAGTGAGATAATTTTGTGAAACAGTTAGGGGGAAAAATGATGTAAGTATGACCCAAAAACATTAGAAAAATGTACATGTATTTGAGTTTCTAGATACCATACCACATTTTAGGATGCAGAAAGGCAGAGAACAATTGAAAGGTAGAATGTGAATATGTTTAATAATGAACCCAACAAGAAAAGAATTCCTTATTCATTTAGGACATTTAGTACAATGCAATAACATGAGCTTTATCCACAAGGTATGGCTAAATGTTATGGCTTTTTGAAATAATGAAGGATTTATAAACCGCATTAAAGTTTACGCTTGTTTAATATTTGGAACAAGAAAACGGTTTTTCGTATTGATTCTATCTCAACTATATAGCGCAAATGTTACAGCCAAGCTGGTGCATATCATATGCTCTTGATAAGATGTTGCACAGATAAGTTGCGCAACATCATTTTTCTTTTCCAGAGTTCGCCCACGTTGCAGCTCAAACGAGTCCCTGTCGTAATAATAGGGGCTTGTATAAATAATGACCCCAAGGCCAGACCACAACATCCGGAGTTACGTTTCTTACTCTATGCGATAAGTGTGTGGGTTCTTTAACGTCCCCTGCTAACACCCTGCTAACCAGTTCTAGTAGTAAACAAGATATATATTACAAGCGTAAATCAGAGATAAAAATGAGTTATCAGTTCAAAATTTCAATTTACTTACTCGTAATTCACTTTAACGTTATATTTCAATCTGCTCTCAACAAAACTTTTTGCTCTTCGTCAAACGCTACTCACACTAATTGACAAAAAAAAAAATATTACATCAATGTTTCGTTGTTTAGGCCGCGCTAATGATATCTTCCCATGTTACAGCGTTGTCGTGTCTTGATTGTAATACCCATGGGACGCCATTCTCCCGTTGCGGGAGTAGTCTTCTGCGTTTGTTCCATTTGATCGTTTCCTATTCGTCACGCTTGGGGTTTTAATCTCCCGCTCGATGAACATGAGGGAGAGGTAGCTAAGCACAAATGCATCTGCCATACAAATCACTGCTATCCAGTAGGCCCAGTTTACTTTGCAGTCCCCAATTTTGTACACACCAGACTGAGGACCGCAGACCGCTTGTACTTCGGGACTATCCCATCCAACGGGATGTATTAGACAAGTGAGTAACATACAGAGGCCTTGAAAAAAACAATCAAAATAAAGCACTGAAATATAATCCTCTGAGCGCTCCAGTAAGCTCTGTCTCTCTGTTACGACCCCTCTCTAAACAGCCCCCCGATTAGGAAGTCTTAAGAATTCCAAACAAGAGAGAGCTCTCTGCGGTTTACAACTATTTATGTATATTTTTTTTTTTTTGCCTTGGTGTCAACCTTTTGCACGATGGCTTTTGATATTATCACCGCAAAAAAGTTTGTATAGCGTTGTGAAGTTCACACATGGATTTATTTATTTATTCATCGACATTTTCATTTGATTCAGTGCCTTACTTGTTTGTAGGACTGCTTCGGGTATAGACGAGTGTTCGTCCAAGTTGCTTTTCATTGTACCTAACATTTCGCTTAAGCGGTTCATATTCAGTGATTCATTTTCTGAAGGATGCATTAAAAAATGATTTTCAATGGTTTCAGGGTTTAGTTACCTAAGTGAGTGGTGGCCTCAAAAGTTTGGGAAATAGCTCTTACAGTTTTGCCTCATATTATGAGAAAGGACTTTTTTTACAGTTCCCAAGCACGAGTGGCCATTTAAGATATTTGTTATGTAAAAAGGAAATGACGTAGATCGCGTACACCTGCTTTATAACTGCCCTTACGAAAAAACGATCTAAACCTTAGAAATAGCAACTCATATGTAGCTACGGATGTTAAACTGCTCAAGTTTTCTTCTGCGTTGACTGAGAATGTTCAGATGGATGTGTCCTAAAGAGGGTGCATCCAAAAAGAAGAAACAAATCTTGGATGTTAGTGCACTATCAAATAGTACGCTTTAGTAATGATAATTAATGGATTATAAGCATCAAAAGGAAATCTTTCAGCCATGACTTGAGTGAAAATGTTCCCACGGCTTCTCAAGTTGACATGAACAGACACCGGTTACGATATTTCGTCAGTCGACAGTTTCGAGTTTCTGTCAGAGCGCAATTTTTATTTTAAATTTGTAAAAATAGTCACTTTATCTGATCCAAGGTAATGCGTAAATATTTCAACTTTCAGTTGCATCAATTAGTATTGGGAATCAAAGATAATTTGTGAAATGAAACAATAATTCGTGAACGATCTTCCAAACGGTCCAATATTCCATTATACACCACTCGTGAGAACGTGAGCAATATAACTACAACTTAATTACTTGAGAGATTTCAAAACGCTCAGGGCCTTAACCGATCCCTATTTCTTTATATTTTGCTATTCACCAACACTTCCTTTCCATATTCCAAGCTTTTTGTTTATCTATGTTAAAAAATTAAGAGAATGTTACAAGAGATAAACCGCCAAAGGAAAGAAATATGGACTATTCTACTCCCTTTCGTCAAGACTATCTAAATGAGTGCTAAATTAGTCATTAATTTTAGGATTGAATAACTTTCTCTACTCTTACCCTCTATCACTTAGAAAATTGTTTTTAAAAGCAGTATATAAAGTTCTTTTCTAAATTTTTTCAGCTTGGAAATCGACAACTTTTGCCGAAACAGCTGAATCTATTCCTTGCCGGAATTTTTTGCGATAGTCACCTGATTTGATTGTACGTGGTCCCTCAATTAATAAATTTCGAACTCAAAACTTTAAATACACTGTTGGCAGATACTTTACCCACGCTAAAGAGGAAATGTGGGGCATAGAAACAACATGCTTGGTGAAAGTGAATTTTATTAGTGCCAGCTGAAGACGGTACAGACCTTAATATAGATGACAGAAAATGCTAGTTCTTTCCACTAGGACTGAACGTCGTTTTCCTACAAATAGACTCCGGTTTTTTTTGTTTTTTTTTAAGATGACCCTGAGAAAGACTGATTTACATCGAAGAGGTGAGGAAGAAGTTTCTTCGAGTAATTTTTATGAAATTGAAGAAGAATGCGGCGCGCTTAAGTTAAATTGTGTCCCAAAAGTTCAGAGGACCACAAATCTACAGGAGTTGTTACGCTTCAAGTTGGGTTGCCAGGCATAAACTATGTTCTATACTTTTTACTTTTTAAGGAAATCTGTTTTGATACCGAAAGCTGCGACGTTTAAAAAGTTATTTGGAATAACTGTTGGGTGAGAGGTGCCATTAAAGAGCTTATTTGGTGTTGAGGGAAACCCTGTGTAGTTAAGCAAATATCACGACCTCGAAGACTCGACTGAAGATACCTGTAACTCTGTTTTTAGACTTCAAAAAGCTATAACCCCTAAAGTAACTAAAAAAAAAAGACAAAACATACCCGCTGAGGCTTGTAGTCCACTGCTAGTGCGAAAACCGATGCGCGAAGACTCGAAGCAACATAACCAGTACAACAACATCATTGCTACGGAGATAAACGTGGAGGTAAAAGCCAAAGCGACGAAAACCGTACAAGCCTGCCAAGCTGTCGAATAAATGTTTGCAAATTCGTTTAGGCTGCCGGTGCATTCGTTGAGGTTGTCGCTGCAGTTACGGTACAGGCCAAAATTTACGCTCTTATCATTTGGAGAAATTTTTCCACTGATCCAGTGAGGCTGTACAAAGATCACCACGATCATGATTCCAAGACAAGCAGTAAAAAGTGCCCAGAGCACCACCAAAATCGTTAATGTTTTTGACTGATACCACGGTTTCAACACAGTGCCACGCGCCATTTTGACTTTTTTCCCTTTGGCTTTTTTCCCTTTGGCCTCCTGTAATCTTCCTATGGAGCTGTAATTTCAATAGTATTTTCTCTGGAAGAATAACAATTCTTTATAGCGAGCACTTTAGCTCAAAATAGCTTCAAAGTGCCCCCCGTGGCGAGGCTTATATAGGGCGACTTCAGGCGCAAAATTTTACATATTGGACAAAAAGTGCTCAATACAAGTGCTTAATATACTGTAAAAAAGAATTGTTGTTCAACTCACCGCCATTTATGTGTTAATCTTAAGCCACCATTTAAGATATAAAAGCGTGACGTAAGGAAAACTTTAGAAAAAAGAATTAATTTAGAGCAGCCCGCTCCATGAATATACAAAACTCGATTGAAATAAGCATTCGCCGTGAACATTTCAAACATTTTCCCTCTTTTATTGGTCAGAGATCCCAACAAAGAACAAAACTTTATGCTCCAATATCGCTTATCTCTTTTATTTTTAAATTCGAGTGTACGACATTTCGCATTTTGAAGGAACATCACGCTCAAAGCAAAACATGCTATTAAAGTTTAATGATGAGTCCTGTTGCAGTTTCTTTGCATAATTACAGAATAACAGAAATCAACCTTGACCAAAGAGAATTTCCTGTTATGGCGAATGCTAATTTCTCAGTAATCTGCAACAAAGACCTTAGCCGAGTTGTAATGAAAATTTGGAGTAAATTTCTGAAATACCTGGATCATAAAATCTGACGTCTTCTTTGGGTGAAGTTTGTTTCGTTCAGTTGAGTGCTTAGAGATATGCTCTTTCAAGTTAGAGCTGTTTCTCACCCATGAAAATGCCTTCGATCGTTTCTGTCTCCGATCATTTCTGCGCTAGATCACGTCAGTCGTAATAAAATAGCCTTAAGTCTCTTAACTATTACAGAAGGGAGTTGTATGCGGCATTAACAACTTTGAGCTGATCTTCAGAAAAAAAGTAAACAATAAGCAATAAACTTAGCATTAACAATTTACAATATAAACTAAATTCGAGAACTGAAGATTAATATTAGGGAGTTGCACTAAAGATCTGAGGACGGAACCGGTGAAACTTTCCGGCTTTGCATCTACACCGCGCTACTTTTCCTGAAATAAAAAATATTATCGGAAATCTTTGAACAATAATTAGACAATGTTCAGTGCACGACTGTTCAACGCACCAAACTAGAAAATATCCTTATCACTTCCTCTCAAGTGCTTTCGATCAGTTTCCCTCAAAGGTCTGCTGGCTTTGATTCAAAACCTTAACTCAACAGGTCTGATGTCAGCAAATTATGTAAGAACGAAGGCATAACAAGAACTCCGTACACACATTTAAGAAGGGAACATGCTGGAGTCTAGCCGACTTGGATGCCAAGATACCGTTCGATTTCTGATAGACACCTTTCTGCGTGCTCTGCGACTACCTTACAGCTAATATAAAAGTATCACGTGGAAGACAGTAATCCGACAATTTGGAAACTTGCCAGTAAGAATATTGACTAACACCCCCGGAAATCAGACCTAAAATCAATACAGGTTGGGAATTTTAAAAATTAAAAGAATAAATCCGAGCCTTTTGCTCCAACACTCTTCTTATCCTATTAAATTGCTAATTGTTTGAACCCCGGGTGTAACACGTGACCGTGCAGTCTGATCGCTCTAGAGAGTGAGGTCCTGTGAAGGACTGATGTCGGCTTTAGTCTCAATGCTGACTACTATAAAAATTAAAGAAAAAGAAAACAAAACCCAAGGCAACAAGCTGCTATTGTACGGAGACATGCGCAAAATTATTCCATTTAGAAGTATACATATCATAAACAGCCTCTAAGTGAGACTAAGGGCTGGTAAGGCCAGAAAAGGAGGGTTATTTTATACATACTGGATGTGCACTGACCCAGCCTCAACTTTGCGAAGTTTTCACTAAAATCCGTCCATCCTATTAATTCACTTCAATTCCCTCCTACTCCTTAGTTTCCTGAGGACCTTGCAGATGCAATAAGCCATATACACTGGCAACATGAAAGTAATTCCCCGTGTAGCATACTGGAAATTGCATATAGACATTTAGACCTTCTCCGGGGGACGGTGGGGGCTTTTGACAAATTTGGCATTCCATAGATGTTAGTTACAATTCTCAACTTACTACGTCATTGGGATAATTTAAAAACTCTATAGAAGCCTGAAAGTTGACCCATTTTGTCCGCAGAAATGGTATTGGAAATACCCACGATCTAACCTTAACAAAGACTATGTACAATACCCTTGAATGTGATGTGGAGGTAATGTTTGTATGAAGGTACCTGTTATAAAGATGTAAATATGTCACATAAACGTCAAAATACCGATATGATATATAACACGCAGTAACATATTTTATGTAACACCTATATTTTATAGGCGTCATAGATGTTGTGCCTCCGTAACCAAAGCACTGACGTATATACTTCCACCCTGTCTTCAGATCCCTAAAAGCCATTTTTTTTTTTACTCCTTACATGCCCACTCGTTAACTTGGCGCCGAATCAACAATGTATGCAATTGTTTTTCCTGGCTTAAAAACAGGCACTGTCAAAGTGACGTGACATCCATACCCAGACACTACAATGAACCCGGGCTCGAGGGGGGGGGGGAGGGGGTGTAGAGTGCCGATACCAGCATTCAACCACTGACTATGAAAACTGTTACATGTACTCACAAACTCACGCTCAACCCAAAACTAGGTAGTTTTGAGGATGTAATAATATTTTAGATAATTTCTTGTCAATCTCATATCTGTTTTATTGTGATTACTATCATTCTTATCAGCATTTCACAACAGTTGAACCTGATCAGTCCGGGGTAAAATAATTTGGATTAACACAAGATTGTTAAAATATCAAATTATAAAATTGCCATCACAAGTAAGACGTAAAAAATTGACGCATTTCAAAATTCTCTTAGCCAGTAAATTGGTTTTATAAGCAAGGGCCTTTTTTCAGTCATTTTTATCATCAACTCTTACTCCATTATTAATTACAGTACCACTGCGAGGATTAATGGCTCCAAATAACTTATCAAGCTCGTGGTTGCTATCGCACAGACTTGTAAAAGTGTAGAACGTGCCAATGTCACCACGGTTGTGCGCTGTATTTTTTCCTTTCATTTCGGTCTCCTTTTTTTCTTTGCAACAATTCAAGGAAAAACGCGTCGAACCAAATTTTTTTCAGGCTTCTTTTTCTGCAACTTCTTAGATTGCCGCTCATCTGTAAAGATTATTCCATCATTTGTACTCACCCACAGACTCTAACGTGATTAAATTCATTTATCGGTGAAGAACGCGGTTCTGGAAGAAAGTGGTGATCCTAAAAGACCATTAAAAGTATTGAATTTGTAAGGAGACTGGCACAAATTCACAGGAAGAAATACCAGAAACGTGTTCCAGTCTTCGAAACATTGGTAGGACATCGTGTTTCATGATTAAGAAAAGCCGGAAAATATAGGGTTATTATTTCCTTGTAAAAGTCAATTGAAGGAAAACTCCAGTCACCGAAAACTGGTCAGTTTTCAGTGTTTAAGTGTCCATGGTATCTTCTTTGTCCTGAGGTGTTTCCACGGGAGGTGGTAATATTGCAGGCTCATATGTCCACTTTGGGAAAACCCGTTTATACAGGTTCATACAAACAGTGTCTTGGGCTTTGATCATTCCGTCGAAAACGCACTTCATGTGTCCATGTGTACCTGGAGGAAAAAAAAAATCTTTAATGGAATAATTATTTGAAACCAGACAATGGTGAAGTACCAATTGCCAATTGAGATTATAGAAAGGGTAAAAATTGCACCTAAGAATAAAACAACATAGCATCTGATTCAACAAAATAACAAGAACAGTTAAGTGTAATGCACCACTGCTGTGAATTGCAATATCTTACAAGACATACCTAAAGGTTCCCGGATATGACCTCTTCTCCCGTATTTGGTGAAAAGTTCCACGGGCTTAAACCAATGAATATCCTCTGAAATAAAAACGGAATGGAAAATGACACCATGCTATTTCTAAATTCGGTCTGCTACTTAAAAAAAAAAAAAAAAAAGGAAGAATAAAAAAGAAAAACAAAAATACAGAAAATAAAACAAAAACATAAAAAGAAAAAGGAAAAACACACAAACAAAAACAAATCCAGAAACAAGTGCAATAAATGTTGTTGTGTGATATTTAACCTTTACCAGGAAAATGGAAGACAAATTATTCAGTGGCAATAGAAATCTTTGCGTCGAGAAAAAAAAAAAAAGGCTTCACAATTTTCCTTGCATCACTAAAAAACAATTCGTAAGAGAGCATAAATTATACATGGCAATGGCAACTTAAGAAAAAGTTCTTCATTCAGACTGAGGTGGTCTTTGTCCTGATGCAACGCTAAGATTTATTTCAGTTTACCATCAAATTCGTGTGCAGGGGAGTGGCTACGCACCAGTCCTCACGTTCATTAACAGTATCACTTACCCCTACTAAAGAACATGTACCGAAGAACTACTGATCGTTTGTTGATCTTGAAAGGATGTCCACTGAGCACAATCTTTTTAGCTAAAATTCTGTCCGGATCGACTTTGTACAATGATCCTGTACCTACCAGGGTATGACAACCTAAAGAAACATTGGTCTACCATAAGAGACGTGGCACCGACGAAACCCGTCCGCGAATAAAGACAAAAAAATGGCAAAAGCCGTAAATTGAAGGAGTGGCAAAAATCATTTGACCAAAGAGGCCACTTGTCTTAGCAACTTTCAAATAATAGTTTCACCAGGCAAGGAGGGACGAATAAACCAAATGGGAGCCAGGATGGCAAAGATTAGAGAAGGCTCAATTATCTTGTGAGGGAGATGAAGGTGAAAAATTAACTACATCAAGATCATGACTTTTCTGTATATTTTTCCCCAAATTAAAGGTTTAGGCACCGATTGCGAAGAAATAGCTTGCATCAAGACAACAATAAAATCATAAAACTTTTCCATCTTGAATGAAGAATCTTTCGTTATGACTTATGCACTAAAAGCTAATTTAAACATTTAATAAAGAATTTTGTGAACTTGAGCCCTACTTGTGTGTTTATCCTGTGTAAACACGAGAACCGGTGCTGGAGGAAACATAATGGGTGCGTACAGCGTCGCCACAAATGCTCCTTCTTGAGGCATAAAACGTTCAAGCTAACAATAAACATAGTAGAGAGACTCAGTCAACCCGCTTACGAGAGAAAATGAACTCTTGATACTTCACTGAAGTGGATAGTGAGATTTTTGAGTGCTTCAATCGAAATCCTCGACAACCGAGTACACAAATGCTCCTTCTTGAGGCATAAAACGTTCAAGCTAACAATAAACATAGTAGAGAGACTCAGTCAACCCGCCTACGAGAGAAAATGAACTCTTGATACATCACTGAAGTGGATAGTGAGATTTCTGAGTGCTCCAATCGAAATCCTCGACAACCGAGTACACAAATAACTTACTACCAAGTACATTGCTGACAACTTGAATGCCTCTCTGTCCACCAAACCGACTGACCGGCTGAATGAAAGCCGGTTTATTCTAAATCCATGCGCAAAGAGGATTAATTTCTTTTCCTTTCTCTCGGAAAGATGAACTGGAACCCAAAATACTTTTTCGGCAAGAAGCAGGTTCACCGTACACGGATCGTAACGGAGCGTCTCAAGCGAAACTAAATCATTTCAAACCTTTACGCCGTAACATCAGTATAGCAATTCTCCATACTGTTCTCTACACATTTCCTGAGGTGCTGACCGTGACAAGGAACATTTGTTTAACAATTAGGAGCTTCTCTAGTTGGTAATCATTTCCTTTAGTCTTGTGACCTTGATGTTTGATTCAGGGGTGATTAGTCACTCTCAAAAGTCAAATGGGTTGAGGAGGGTATCCTTTTTATCGTTCAATTAGATCTTCTGTTACGTTGACACCAAGCATAAGTATATTAACAAGAGCGTTCTACGAAGCAAACAAGTACGTGGAAAGACAATCGCCATATTCATACCTTGTGTTTATCGCCCGATGTATGCTGGGAATAAATGGGGCACGCTGTAAATCTTCGGTGGCCACAATGAAATATCAGTCTTTCCTAGAAGTATTCAGTAGTTTACGTATAAGTGCACCACAACAAACGAATAACACGGCATTGTTCTAAAGCAAAAGAAAAACAACAATTCCGAAAAAAGGCCTGCAGTGCACGCGTACAAAGTGGGCTAAAGGGGGGGAAGTTTATATGAGCGCCGTGGTGCAAGAGACCACAAGAGTGCGGCCAAAAACACGTCATCATTTACGTTTGAAAGAAATACATCAAAATGGGACGAATGCATCATAACAGAGCGGAGATCTTTACTAGCGTAAAAGTTGACATGGTTGCACGCTATCGAAATTTGGGCTACACTTGAGTTTTTCAAGTGTCTTTATTGAAGACAGTTCAAGTAAAGCTGAACTTTTCAGGTGAGCTGCAATTTTAGCCATTTCAGAAAATAAGAATGAAACAATTCACGATTCGACTGGATCCAACCCGTGCCTTTCAGATAGTAGTTGGGCGCGACTACCAACTGAGCTACGAAGACACACACTAGGAGCGTTAGTCTTTCGCGTGGAGGAATCTGTTCAGAATTTATGAAGGCAGTTCATTACTCAAACCTTGGATTTCACAGGCTCGCTGAATGTTGGATGTCTCTTAAGTACAAAATGGACCACGGACATCTAACGAGAGAAAATACGCCAAAAATCAGCTGAAAAGCGGGTTAGAATTCCTACTCTATCCTGAGCATCGATTCCTTGTCTGAGTTTGCACAAAAGTCGATTCTTACCTTTTGCTCGTGTGGAAGAAGGCCAAATATCACCAAAGGAGAACTGGGGTATAGTGAGTCTAGAGAAGTAATATGTATGTAGCGATCAAAGTCAATTATCAAACAACAAACATATGAAATACATATATATGAACTGCGGTTATGAAACGTATATGTGCACGATCCTTCGCAGTAAAGCACTATTTGAGCAATAGTGAAAATCAGACCTGAAAAAAATTTCAGGCCTGTACGGGATTCGAACCACTGACCTCTGCGATACTAGTGCAGCGCTCTACCAATTGAGCTAACAAGCCAACTGGGAGCAGGCCATCAAATTAATTCGACATAAACCCGTAGATGATAAATCAAACAACAACAAACATATGAAACATATGTATGAACTGCGGTTATGAAACGTATATGTGCACGATCCTTCGCAGTAAAGCACTATTTGAGCAATAGTGAAAATCAGACCTGAAAAAAATTTCAGGCCTGTACGGGATTCGAACCACTGACCTCTGCGATACTAGTGCAGCGCTCTACCAATTGAGCTAACAAGCCAACTGGGAGCAGGCCATCAAATTAATTCGACATAAACCCGTAGATGATAAATCAAACAACAACAAACATATGAAACATATGTATGAACTGCGGTTATGAAACGTATATGTGCACGATCCTTCGCAGTAAAGCACTATTTGAGCAATAGTGAAAATCAGACCTGAAAAAAATTTCAGGCCTGTACGGGATTCGAACCACTGACCTCTGCGATACTAGTGCAGCGCTCTACCAATTGAGCTAACAAGCCAACTGGGAGCAGGCCATCAAATTAATTCGACATAAACCCGTAGATGATAAATCAAACAACAACAAACATATGAAACATATGTATGAACTGCGGTTATGAAACGTATATGTGCACGATCCTTCGCAGTAAAGCACTATTTGAGCAATAGTGAAAATCAGACCTGAAAAAAATTTCAGGCCTGTACGGGATTCGAACCACTGACCTCTGCGATACTAGTGCAGCGCTCTACCAATTGAGCTAACAAGCCAACTGGGAGCAGGCCATCAAATTAATTCGACATAAACCCGTAGATGATAAATCAAACAACAACAAACATATGAAACATATGTGTGAACTGCGGTTATGAGACGTATATGAGAACGAGACCTGAAAAAAATTTCAGGCCTGTACGGGATTCGAACCACTGACCTCTGCGATACTAGTGCAGCGCTCTACCAATTGAGCTAACAAGCCAACTGGGAGCAGGCCATCAAATTAATTCGACATAAACCCGTAGATGATAAATCAAACAACAACAAACATATGAAACATATGTATGAACTGCGGTTATGAAACGTATATGTGCACGATCCTTCGCAGTAAAGCACTATTTGAGCAATAGTGAAAATCAGACCTGAAAAAAATTTCAGGCCTGTACGGGATTCGAACCACTGACCTCTGCGATACTAGTGCAGCGCTCTACCAATTGAGCTAACAAGCCAACTGGGAGCAGGCCATCAAATTAATTCGACATAAACCCGTAGATGATAAATCAAACAACAACAAACATATGAAACATATGTATGAACTGCGGTTATGAAACGTATATGTGCACGATCCTTCGCAGTAAAGCACTATTTGAGCAATAGTGAAAATCAGACCTGAAAAAAATTTCAGGCCTGTACGGGATTCGAACCACTGACCTCTGCGATACTAGTGCAGCGCTCTACCAATTGAGCTAACAAGCCAACTGGGAGCAGGCCATCAAATTAATTCGACATAAACCCGTAGATGATAAATCAAACAACAACAAACATATGAAACATATGTATGAACTGCGGTTATGAAACGTATATGTGCACGATCCTTCGCAGTAAAGCACTATTTGAGCAATAGTGAAAATCAGACCTGAAAAAAATTTCAGGCCTGTACGGGATTCGAACCACTGACCTCTGCGATACTAGTGCAGCGCTCTACCAATTGAGCTAACAAGCCAACTGGGAGCAGGCCATCAAATTAATTCGACATAAACCCGTAGATGATAAATCAAACAACAACAAACATATGAAACATATGTGTGAACTGCGGTTATGAGACGTATATGAGAACGATCCTTCGTACAGGCCTGAAATTTTTTTCAGGTCTGATTTTCACTATTGCTCAAATAGTGCTTTACTGCGAAGGATCGTGCACATATACGTTTCATAACCGCAGTTCATACATATGTTTCATATGTTTGTTGTTGTTTGATTTATCATCTACGGGTTTATGTCGAATTAATTTGATGGCCTGCTCCCAGTTGGCTTGTTAGCTCAATTGGTAGAGCGCTGCACTAGTATCGCAGAGGTCAGTGGTTCGAATCCCGTACAGGCCTGAAATTTTTTTCAGGTCTGATTTTCACTATTGCTCAAATAGTGCTTTACTGCGAAGGATCGTGCACATATACGTTTCATAACCGCAGTTCATACATATGTTTCATATGTTTGTTGTTGTTTGATTTATCATCTACGGGTTTATGTCGAATTAATTTGATGGCCTGCTCCCAGTTGGCTTGTTAGCTCAATTGGTAGAGCGCTGCACTAGTATCGCAGAGGTCAGTGGTTCGAATCCCGTACAGGCCTGAAATTTTTTTCAGGTCTGATTTTCACTATTGCTCAAATAGTGCTTTACTGCGAAGGATCGTGCACATATACGTTTCATAACCGCAGTTCATACATATGTTTCATATGTTTGTTGTTGTTAGAATTTGCTATCTAATCAAGTTAGTGCTCTCAAGTTAATAAAACTGCGTGTTTTCAGCACCCTGCTAGTTGAAGTGATGACATCGCATTCCTAGGTGGTAACGATTACACTTCTGGTTTTTATTGAGTTATACGGGCTGCCGGATGAAAGACGCTGTAATCAAGCCATGGCCTTCTTTAGATTCTCGATAAAAGTGTTCTCGCATAAAATACATCTCCCAATTGCTTTAAGAACCATTAAGAGGTATACCTGTGCACCATCCACCTCATCTTCCTCCAGGACTCGTTTCTTTGTTCGTTTGAAGTTCTCAAACTGGAAAATTCTGTGAACACGATTTATGAAAAAAAGCAACGAGTAAACGGTCAAGAGCAATCACATTCAAATACGTGTTCACGTACATCGATACCACTTACACTTCACTGTCATCTGAAAAGTGGCTAACGAATGAAATCAAAACCTGACATTTTTAAAAATAGCACCAAATCCCACTCCGAGAATCGGACCGAAATTACCAGATGGCACAGGCTCGAAACGTACCTCGCATAATCCGATGGAAGATTTTCCTTCGGATCCCAAGGCGATGTACGGAAACTTTTTAGACCGCGGTATCTTTAAAGAGGCAAGAGAAAGAACGATTAAATTTAATATTAGGCACATTAAATAAGCATTGGACAACTACAGCTGCATGGTATGTCACGTTCGTTTGCTAAATATATCCTCTATAGCTGTTGGGATCTCTACGGTTCAGTCAAACGTATGCCAATCTTGGATCCTGGCTAAATGACAAGAAATGACAATTTAAGCACGTTCTTGTTTCTCTGATGTTTTCATTGGTAATATGTGTTTAAGTATTTTTCCAACGTGGAGCAGGAGATTTTTTCAGCGACATGGCATCAGAATTCGAGAAACGTTTACGAAGAACAGCTCGTCTACCTCTTTTTTTCTAAACACCCTACCTTTGAAATCGAACGCGTGCCGGTTGATCCACTGGTGTGTCCATTTCATCAGGAAACATTTCATTTTCCCTTTCCGCTCGAATTTTCTCCAACCTGAAGACAAATTTCACTAGCATCAAATACTTGGTCCTCTTACAAAGAATCGTTATTATGCAGCGATGTACTATAACCACTACTGTACAGCCAACCGCGCCTCTACTGTACAGCCAACCGCGCCTCTACTGTACAGCCAACCGCGCCTCTACTGTACAGCCAACCGCGCCTCTACTGTACAGCCAACCGCGCCTCTTGAAGTTTTCTCTTTAGGCACTTACTGGTCTCTTTCTTCATCAACATCGATATCTTCATCGTATTTACTGTCCTCCGTCTCGGTAGCTGCGACGCTCACCTAAGATTAGCAAACAGTGAATTATGCCAAAATTTTCAGAGATATCCACTTAGAACATTAATTTTTTTTTCGCTTATTCAAGACTGCCTCGCTTATCTGTTGTAGCTTATTTGCTTTAACTGAGTGACAGGGTATATCTGGAAGTGCTGGTACTTCTCCTTTATGGGCCACTAGTCTAGTGCAGGCAAACGCAAACTGCCTCCTACCCTTCCCATTTCCCCAGTATTTTGTCGGGTTTCTCGTAACCAATGTAAAAGCCAGGTTAAGTAAGTTTCACGTACATGTACTGTCAGATAACCTTATCTAATGACGATAAACGCAACAAAATGTCCCTGAGTAGTGATCAAAAGGGAAATTTTCGTAAATTAGCATGCTAAGTATGTGCAGCTGTACATAAAACTCTTGGAAAATTTTAAAACGACTTTCAACAAAAAATCCAAAACTTATCATCCAGCAGAGTAGGGAAAAAAAGTACGATTGCTTGTTTTACTTACTGTTTCGTACTCTTCGTCTTCGTTGTGCTGCAAAGACATTAAATAGACGACACTGCTGTCAGAACCTTCACTTACAGTTTACATAGTGTACCAAAAGATTTATGAATATTTAAGATAGAGCGCGCACTCTCATTGGTTGTTAGCCTTGTTTAGATGAGAGTAAGTACACATGGTTTTGACGTCACGCTTTCTCTGTCTCCCAAAAATATTTTAATCAAAGCAATATAAATGGCGTCTCGGGTTGGCATAACTTTCTCGAATTCTCCCAATCTCAGCGTGATTACATGTAGACGAGGCTACGTACACAGAAAAAGGGCCTTTATTGCTTTGGTAAAATCCTGTTGTCGTTGTCGCCGTCATGTTGCTGTTGATGTTGCTGTTGATGTTGTTGTTGTTGTTGTTGTTGTTGTTGTAAAGATTAAACAACTGTTCTGACAAAATGGCCACGCAATGTACTGCTAAAAAACGGTTCAAGGCAACTGATAATAAGCAATAATCATAATAACTAGACAGAAACCCATGCTCCTACTTATTTCCGCACCCAGCCTGAATCCAAATTCGAAAAGCCGAAAATCACTCCAAGTTGTAAGATTCAAGGGAACCAATTTATACCGAAGCTGCATTTACGAAGGCCCATAGACCACTTTCATAAATGGCTGCCGGATTAATATTCTTTTGTTTAAATTAAAATTAGCCCTACTGGCCTCATTCTCCAGTACAAAATTCAAAAGAATACATTATCTCAAGCGAGGCCAGTAGGGCTAATTTAAATTTTAACAAAAGAATATTTATACGGCAGCCATTTATGAAAGTGGTCTATGGGAAATGTAAAGAGAATAGTATAGACAATATGTATATAAAGGGTTAAATAGGAGCAAGGTTTGATAGCAAAGAATATTTTCGCGCAGTATTTTGGCACATTACCATGGAATGATCACTATCACTGCCTTCCATTTCTTCCTCAAACTCATCATCATCTTCATCGTTCTCGTCACCATCTGGGGCTTCTTCATCATCACTATATGTGATCCAGGTAGCTTGGTAGTCAGAGGTTCCTTTGGGTACCCTCTTTGCAACTTTCTTTTCTTGATGAGCTTCTGCCAAAAATTAAACGCGATGCAGTTGTAAATCAAAAACAAATTAAGAGGTCCACACTCAAGCAAACTACATAACAATATAAATTGCCATGCCCTGTGCTTCAAATAGTCTGTAATATGTGTAAGATTTTGAGGACGCGGTAGGAAAAAAACCTCGTTCTCACATACTACGAGCTTGCCCGGAATCGTCCATGGTGAATGCGGCGTCATACCCCGGTGATCTTATCGTCATATCCTAGCTTTAAGGACTATGAGTTGCCAAGAAATGCGAAAAAGTGCAAAAAGCGTGAAAGCAGTTTCATGCATTAGGGTAATTTTAAAATCGTTACCCACGATTCTCAATGTTCATCTCCCCATAAGTCTAAACTTTTTATTTCATTTGATTTCACTCTGGTATAAGGTGGTCGGTCATACTCAACCTAATTCTTTGTAAACAAAACAATCTATCGAAAAGGTAAATAAAACCAATTAACGTCAGACCAGACCCTCAGCTTCCCTCAGCTCTTCATCTGTTGGCCAGGTTTGTTCTCCTTCCATCGGGTCAGGCTCAACTTCCGACTGCAGCGATTCCTGAAAAGCTGCGTCAGCTCGAGCTATAAGCTTGATGTCTTCATCCATAGAAGTTGTTCCTTCTTCGGTGTCCTGCAATTATGTGCCGTCAGACCATGGGAAAAAAAAATAAGTCGAATTTACAAAGGATCATACTACAACCACGATATTGCGACTTACGCAGTTTACATGTTCACGTACTTTTTCGCTTTTCTTGAGCGAAAATGGTATTTTGTTGTCCACCCTGGCTCTTTGTTCATATCTTACTTTCTTGCTATGTTTGAGGGATCGCGCGGTAACTGAGGATAGTGTAGAGCAAGGTGCAATGATGAATGAAAAAGAGTTTGAGACAGAGGAGAGACAATTTGAACAGTGGATAAAGATGCACCACTATGGATACACAGCGACTTTTGTGTTATGGCCTCCAAAGTAGTGATGAAATCATGTTCCAACAAATACGTGTAGATATAAAAGATCTGAAGTATCGCGACCTCAGTTTGAGATAAACGCAGCTATTTGCATACAATCTATGAGAAAAAAACAAAAACAAAAAAAAACAAGACGTGCCAAACAAATGTGTTAATAAGCGCCAGGCAAGTGGGCTTAATTTCTACGTCGCCTGTGGAAATATATATAAAATCTAAATACACGTGCACCACCAAAATAACAAAAAAAAAAAAAAAAGTTATTAGCCGTAATCCAAAAAACAAAAGCTAAACATTACCACAGCCATTGATTCCCCTTTGGTAACTGATGACTTTTTTCGTTTCTGCCACGGGAATGGGTCAGGAGGTGCATCAATCTATGAGAAAAAGAAAAAAAAAAAAACAAGACGTGTAAAACAAATGTGTTAATAAGCGCCAGGCAAGTGGGCTTAATTTCTACGTCGCCTGTGGAAATATATATTTGATACAGTACAAGCATTGTTATCATACTGCTAGAATACCTACCTGTGACATTTGAAAATCTCCATACCCCGGTAGATGAACCAGCCTATTCACAGAAAGGTTCTTCCCTCTGACAAAACCACACACCTTCAGGGTACCCCTGGGGACATCTGTAACCTCACTGTTTAGTTCAAATGCTGTACTTTCAGCTAGCAGATGGGGACGTATATCGCGGAAATGGATGACTCTTTGATGCTGATTGGATATTAATCTCAGTGCTACAAGAGCATCCTAGGAGGAAATAATTTCAACATCATGAGTAACAAATTACTTGACTGTACTGGTTGGGTAACAAATTCTCTAAGAGATAAAGAGACCTAAAGAGCAAACATACTTTGGGTTTTCCTAGAAAGTTAAGCCAACTGCCTTGACTCCACGACAATACAAATCAAGCTACATTCAGCTTTTTTGTAACTGTGTGCAGAACAGAGTGTGTTTTAGTGGTTTTACAAGGAGTTTTATGTATAAATATAAAAACTACATGTACTCCATGAAAAAAGGAAACTGCAGTTTATTTTGTCCTTTTTTTTTTGCAAAAGCAGGCAATTCTTACCTGGTCTTGTCTTAATTTAAGGTTTTGAGCCACTTAAATAAATAAACTGTACCTGTTTCATGCGTACACATAATCATATGAGAGAGACATCAGTTCTTAAACTATCTTTTTTCCCTAATTACCACAGTATGTCAAGCACTAATAAAAGAAGATGTTTCGCTTATTTTCACGAGTTGTCCCACATTCTGACAAGTCCATAGGGTGAGTCCAAATACAAATAACGAATAAAAATACTCAGCAATACTACACAACAAAAGGTCTAATAAGACACACCAAATTGTTATATCACTGCATGTGAATTTCACAGATATTTCTGGAGTACAAATATCACATGCTATTTGTATTCTACGAAGCACAGTTGGACAATAAAACTGTGTACTTATCAACAGCAGTCAGGTGTAAACTGCTTAAAAACTGTTCAATGTGTAAAGTACTGTAGTGTGTTTCAGTGACCTCTCACCTGTGAGGAATCAAGGTTATGAATTTTATCCCTTGGAAATCTGAAAAGAAATAAAAGGCAGGTAATGACTTCATGTTCATAAATACACGTCATGTTCACTGAATACACCTCAACAATTAAATATGGATACTATTTATTATACATGTATATCCAAGCAGTAGCAAAACAATTTATAGTAACTCCCAAAATCTTTTTTAATTCAACTGTATGTTATATGTACATGTACATATTATCATAACTAATAATGTGCTCAACAAGTTTGTGATCATAAATAACAAAACATGTACCTCTTTTCTATAATCTTTTGTATGTGTTTCTTCTGATCATTTCGTTTCTTTGAAGGCACTTCATCTAGACCCTGGAATAAAACATACACTCACAAGTTGGTGACAGTAAGTGATGTTTCAAAATTCTGAGCAAAAGTCCTCTTCATGAGTAAAATGATGATGACGTCCATCAGGTCATTTACTGTCACAGGCAGGACATTCTCTTCAAGAAAATCCTCATGCTAACCATCTCTCCACTGCATCATGGGAACAGTGCAAGGGACAGTAACTTACAATATTTACCTATATGTAGTGATGACATCCTTGGGTCAAAAAAGGAAAAATTACCTGTATCAGATATACAAAGCAAGTTTACCTGAACCCCGAGGAAAGATGTTGGTAATCCTTGTGCAAATATACATGAAAGACATTTCTCACCAAATGAATCTAGTGAATCAGTAGCAGAGAGAAGAAATAGAAGAGAATCGGCAACCTAAGGTTGAAATAAAGAAGTTTGTCAGTTTGCAGTCAACAAAAAATGTAAATGTAACCATAAAACTCCGAAAAATAATAATTAACTCATTGCAACAAACAATTTTACAACTGTATCCCTGTACATGTGACATGATCTGCTTCTACAAGCACATGACCACTAAACATTTACACGAAATAAGCAGATTCCTGTCACATCAACAAGCTTACATATTTTGCAGGTTTATGATAACTAAAGAAAGCAGAAGTCATTGTACTGTTGTACAGTGACAGTATGTATCAATCAGTTCAAATCTCATCAGTTGACATGACACTACAATGTGCTTGGTAATATTGTATTCTGGCACCAGTCATTTCTAGAATCAACTGACACCATATTGATCATCCAGCTTTCTGTATATGGTGTTTAGAAAATTACCATGAGGGCCTGCCATTGTGTTCATAAAATAAGAAAAAAACAACTAAATCACAAACCTTTGCTGCATCCAAAGCTGCATACAAGTCCCCGTACATCAGCGGAAGAAAAGAAAATCGCTGCTTCAGTTGCTGAGAACTGAATGAATGAAAGAGGAAACAACATGTATTGTTAACGACTGCAGTTAGGGGTCCAAACCTACAGTAGGTAAGTAAGGTGCAGTATGCCTACATAAAAAAAAAGGCACGATAAATAGCTACATTTTGTATAAAATTAAGGCTCTAAGCTGGGCAATGAATGTTCATGTAAGCTGAACACTTGGCACTAATATGAAAAAAGCTAGATTTTTCTAATCAAAAAGCTAGATTTGGATCAGTATTATGAGTCACACTGACCACAATTTTGTAATTATTCTCAATTTCTGGGGAATGTTACAGATAAACCATTAGGAAATATTATTGAATCATTCTACATTGCAGTCTGATGAAACATTTTAAAGTGCATGACTCACAAAATTTAGTTATCAATACCATAAATGCAACTCAGTTACTGTTATTGCTTAGCGACTTACACCAGGGTGGCAGTATTTCTTGTGGAATACAGGAAGCCATCATCATCACACTCAGTGAGTAGTTTAACAGCTTGGTCAACATTGCAGCTGGATGACAGAGGAACAATTGCCTAAGAGAAATTGTTAAGTTACTATTAATTTTACAATTCTCTTGAAAACAGTTTGCAAAATTTTGGATTGTTTTGTTTTAACCACAAATACTTCCATCTTTAAATTATGATTATATACTAGGAAATAATAATAATTCACAAACAACATTACTATGGCTTTAGATTTGCGTGCTAACATTTAGCAGTCATCTTGTAATTTCAAATGAGACCCACACTGTATACTTGACCAATTTTGAAAATTTTCTCTGCCTACTGCACTCTTAATTGAATCAGCAGGGCCAGAGTGTTCAAAGCTGGGTTAAGATAACCCAGGGTTAGTGTGAAATATGATTTCAGATCTGGAACCTTGAGGAGCAAATTCAGTTGATTTCTTTTTGCCTGCAATTTGCTGATTGAACGTTCTAAAACAATAGAGAAAATTATCCCAAAATGGCTTTTGAACAGAGAAATATAGAAACCTGGGCCCAGTTGTTCAAAGACCAATTACTGCTAACCCAGGGTTAAATTTTAATCCAGGTTTCTATATTTCTCTTTTCAAAAGCTGTTTTAAGATAATTTTCCCAATTCTTCTTAGAGCATTCAATCAATAAATTGTAAACAAATGGAATTAAAGTGAAATTAATTTTAAAGCTTTCAGATCTTCAATTAATTTCACGGTAACCCTGGGTTATCTTAACCCACCTTTGAACAACCCAGCCCTGGATTACAAAACCCTGGGTTAGTGCTGATTGGCCTTCAAACAACTGGGCCCAGACAAATTGAATTTCTTTTTCTTTTACAAGACTACTGCACAAGATTATGAATCTTAATCTGTTTGTTCAGTAATTAGAGTACTTAGAATTACACCCTGATGAAATTAATAATGAAGAGATGCAACTATATAATAAACAATGGATAATATATGTACATTACGTTAATGGTAATTTTTTAAACTGTCCTACCCATGGTTTAAATGTTGCCTTGGATAAAAGTTTTTAAAACTAGGTTTATTAACAGGAGTTAAAGATAATGAACAAAAGATAATTAGAATCAAAAGTGAAACTTTCCTGACATCTCACTCATACTTATAAAAATTAGTTTGGGTTGTGTCTAGAAAAATGAAAGAGATATATGACACTCACAATAAGATGAGGAGGGCTTCCTTGCTTTCCAGTTTTTCTCTTTTGCTCCAGTACTTCCTCTCTTCTTTTCTCTCTTATCTGTTTTGCCTGTTTAAAACAGTCAAAATTTTTCCCAAGAAAAAAGGAGGTTGCATGTACATGTGTCAGTTTAGCCTAATGCTGGAGCACAGTCCTGTTTACTAAGACTTAAAAGTGGAACATTACCTGCCAGTGGTCTATATTTTAATTAAGAAGATTGAAAATAAACAGTCCAAATAGATACTATATGCACAATACTCCAAGCTGTCAATTGACAGACCAGTTGACTAAAATTGTAAGAAAAGGGACCTACAAAGAACTAACTTTGAGTAAAGCAATAAACAGCAGGATGAGGTAATTCAACTGAGGGGTACTGGGATACAAGCCATGCACCTCAAACAGTCACCCAAGACGTCCATTTAACCCTTTCACCCCCCAAGTAATTCTCCTTACTGTTTACCATATAATTCTTCTGATGTTAGTTTGGAGAATTTGGTAATGGATCAACTAATATTCCCCTAGTTGATATCTTCTTAATTTTCGTCACTTGCCTGCTTGATATCGTATTGATTTTGTGAGAAATTCTGTTGTGGTCACTCATGAGAGTTAAAGACGTAGAGCAAAAAGAAAATTATCAAGAGCGGCAAATTGTCGCTCATGACGACTTATTTAGTGATGAAACGTAAAGTTGATCTTTACTCAAATAATACCCACCTGGTGTCGACGATTGGCTTTTCCAACAGCTTGGCGAACTTTCTTTGAAATCACTTTGATTCCCACACGGCCTGAACAAGGATACATTTGTGTTACGGAGGTTTAAGGGCAAAAGAAGTCTAAACTTCTTACTCACGGGCTTTAACTACATGTACCATGCGTCCTCATGATGATCACAAGTATCTCGAAAAATAGCTGCATGCATGTATATGCTTTGTCAGGCTTTGCGTATAAAGAATACTGACCTTATAGAAAAACCTGATGATATCATTTTTGTGCGAGTTTTATCGAAAAGGACAGAAGTAAAAGAACCATAAGGATGTAAAAATGCTATCGTAATGCATAAAAGATGTTCAACCTAATAACGTTGCCAAAAATTTATTTACAAATGCAAATTTTACAACCATTTCTGTAGCTCTACATGGACCGAAAGAAAGCTTTCACAAAGCATTATAGAGAAAGCCGACGTAATACCTTTGTTAGTCTTATCGATCTCGCTCTTGCTCCTGTGCCGCCCATGTTTGTGTGTTTTATTCTGTTGTTTTAGTGGACCTGATTTATGTCGAACACCTTCTTCGAGAGCCATTTTGTTTGTTAAAACACGTGCTGCAAAAGAAACCGCTGGCTAAGGTTGAATGTTCACAACTAGAAAACATGTAGTGTAACAGTCATATAATGTTCTGGCGGTCAATGTGGGCACTCTAATTGTGGTAGCGTTATTTTCAATATGGCGATGAAAGCGGCGGAAATCGGCAGATTTTGACTAAACAATGCGTGAAAATTAGGCCGTTTCTTTCTCCTTTCAATTTATCGCGTATTCTTTAATTTTCAAGGGTGTACACAAGACGGGTTTTTGAAAAAGTCAAATAATTTGGTGTACCTCGCTCGTAGTTTGAAGCTTTTAAAAGATTCGGATGGCCACTGATCCTTCTTCAACATTTCTGCCCGAAACGCTCTCAAACGCTCTCCAACGGTACACGTGTTATATGTAGTTTAAGGGATAGTGTTTGAGACGGGTTATGGATGCGTAAAGGCCTATTGTATGTAATGTTTAGTGTTTGCGTGACGCTGAGCGTGACTCCTCAGTGCAAGGACATGTACTGTAAAATCACTCATTTGCGTCGTAAATCTACTCTCCTGAGTGAAAAAAAAATTCACTAATCGCGAGTATTGCATGGTAAATCCACTATCTTGACCATTGAATGAAGGACAGTTCAATTAAAGCAATGAAAAGGGTCACGTGATCAACGAATAACCCTGCCTTGTGTGAGGCGAAACGTCGGTAAGCCGGAAAGCAAAAGCCAGTCGACAGTTAAAAGGTGTCGATAGGCTTGTGCGATTCCTGCCATTCGCTTTAAAATTATCTGCCCTCCAAGTTTAGCTCTCATTAGGATTTCTCTTAATGATTTCCTATTGCGATGTAATAATAAGGGTTATTTTTTTAGATGTCTCTTCCTTATCTGTATGTTCTTCAGGTTTGGCAAAGCCGGATCAGATGTGTTGCAAAAGGCAATCTTTTCTTCTGTGCGCACGCTAGTCTCTTTGATTTTAAGAATACTTTCTGTCCCGCAGAAAATATCTCCAGAGATACGTTTCTCAAAACCTTCATCTGGATATCCTCTGTTCTTGAAGCGTATTTTAAAGCTCTACATTTTTATTTAACGTGGAACGAGACAACTTTGTTTTTAGGAAGCGTGGGGCTTATCTTTTACAAATCCCGTATTTATACATTACACTTGGTTGAGGAAAAAGTTCGTGTACTAGGAGGGTCTCTGCCTCTTTGCAATGCATTCACATATCAAGGCCGGGTCAATTCCCTGTTAAGATACTCGCGCCTAGGAATGTAATTTCTGACTTTTATATTATTCATTCCGCCATCGGATGTAAGTGTAACTGTTGCAATTTGTGTCGAGATTCTTAGGCAAGACCTCGGTTTCGCGGATTCTTTCTGAATCACGACGGGGGCCCCCTAAGAACGAATTCGTCACGATGAATGACAGGTGTCACGCAGACCCGTCAAAACTCCTCAAGTTTCGAAGGAACGGCAACAGGTAGTGAATTCCCATTACACTCTACGTACTAGCTCGCTTTCAGGCGGTAGTTCGTATTTTCAAGCGCGAGATTCAGCGCGGCGAATTTTCGGTCGCCATATTGGACGGGTGAAAGATTTTGGACGAGTGACAAAACGAGCGGGAGGGGGAAAAGAATTATGTAACGGCGTTTGCTGTACATTATTCAAATTAAACAGGAATACTAAGGCCGAAATTGCAATTTAACGCACGTTCAATGTATGGTCCTGACAAAGTTACAGTTGGACGTTGATTTGGATACCACTTCTAGTTATGATCAGATTAGAGAAAATTGTCTTATAGTAAGGCTTTCGAACTAAGGCTTAAATCATTTATTATTCATGAAGCAATTAATAAATTGGGTGGCCTCATTTGGGTTGCATGGATGCCCCTTGATACTCGATAAAGAACAGATCCAAACACGCGTGATTAGATATCCAAACACGTGTGTTTGGTAATCAATTTGCAAAAAAATGCAGTACTTGAACAAATGTTTACTTACTTCCAGAATGACAGTAATAATTTTTTGCAGTTACATTAACGTTTTCATTGCAATTCAAGAACATTCCAGAATTTAACTGATTTAACACGCTCCCCAACTCAAGTAAGGAATTTGAGCTAAAAAACTTCCTCTTTGCAACTTCTCGGAAAGACCTTCGTAGCCGCTTCTTCCATTACACTGTTAACAAATATGGACATGATACCTGGACACGAGGAAACTTCGAGAGGACCGCGACATCTTTTCATTTAAACGGATCAATCTACTACCAGATGGGTGATCTGGTCATGGCACGTTATGCATTTTTGTGATCAATAAATCTGAGAAAAAATATTCTTCGTAAACATCTGGAAACAGCAGTCACCTATCGCTGCCTTGGTGAAGCTCAGTGATACATGAGTGACTATGGCGAGGCACTAGACTCATTATTGCATTCTCTAAAGTTTAGATGTGACCTTCTGGGCGATCATCCCGCCACAGTCACTAGATTGAAGTTACTTGCTCGCACATACGAAGCCTTGGGATCAGAAGACTCGGCACACGATTCTTTACTAAGGGCGTGTGCAATGATAGAGGAACTGGGCGGAATGATATTCGACCCCTAGACCAATAATGAGGATACGTAAATATTTTTGCTTTAGTAGTGCAAATGGTTGCTTTCTCTGAATTATTTCCTCTACCATCAAAGTCATGCTACTTGTTTCTCAAGAAAAATTAAGCTAGAGCAGAACAAACTCTTATCTCGTACCTCATTTTATTATTATTATTATTATTATTATTATTATTATTATTACAATCCAACAATGTGTCGTAACATGTTTTACATATTGTCCGCAATTATTCTTCAGGATCAGCTTAAAGCTTATCTCTTTTTGCCTCCAACCTCAATTAAAATACATCAGATTTTCAGTGCAAGGATGTGCCTAATAATCGTTGATCAGTATTTATTATGTAAAAACCTTGCACTACATGTAGCTTGTAAAAAGTGCGGAAGAGCTTGTTTGTGCACACTGTTGGAAGATGGGTTGAGTATTGATAGTTATTTCATGTATCTGTATTTTTAGTTTACTTCATTTTCTTCCATTGATTTATTGACCATTGACAGTACTTTTAATATTTCTTATTTTATTTACTCAGTTTTCTTCTATTCAATTTGATGGCACATTTCCAATGGCTGAAATTGGCTGAATTTTGTTGTTTGTAGGATCACTCAATTTTCTTTTACTTCATTTGTCCTTAGGTACCTAAAGAAAGATGCGAAGGCCCGCTCCTCTCCAAAGCTCGCGACAACCTTTCTAGAGGAATGACGTACTCATCGTCGCCGTCATCTTCTTTAGACTTTGAAGGCGATGTATACCCTTGAAAATTGCCGGCTGGTATGTTAGGAACTCTGGGTGCATCGGTGAGAGGCATATTCGTGTAATCCGGGGTCTTTATTTGATTGACGTAGTCCTGTTCTGTCTCTTTACTTCTCCCTAGTGGTGTACTGGTGTGGGAACTAGAGCTTGACATTTGCATAGATTCTGCAGACTTTGCAAGAGATGTAAACGCTTTAGAATTGTCGGCTGACGTGTTAGGAATGCAGGGTGCATCGATGAGAGGCATGTACATATTCGCATAGTCCGGGATCTTTATTTGATTGACGTATTCGTGTACTTTCTGTTTATCTCTATCTAGTGGCGTATAAGTGTGGGTAGAAGAACTTGACGCTTGTATATATTCTTGAGTCTGGGCACTGCCGCTTGGCACCTGTGGTAACAAAAATGAGAAAACATGTCTATGTTTAAGATTTGTTGACCGGCACGTGATCAGCAGTCCACCGACGATTTTTTCACTTTTTTAATAGATGAACCAAGGGTTAAGGG